TTATAATGTCAGACATTGTTGGACGATCTTTGTAGTTCTCTATCAGACAACGTTCAATGAGATTCTTCAATGTCGGCCTCTTGATAGCTTTAATCTGAGCCACTCTCTTTTCTACGTCTTGAAACTGACATACGACCATCTCTAGAAGGAGGACACCATAACTGAAGACATCCATTGCAGGAGAATGTTCCCTTGGATTGAACGATTCTGGAGCTGAATAGACAAGATTGCCAGGGTTGCGTGTGCTGGTAAGTGACTGGAGACAAACTGTTCCATGATCAGATACTTTAGCCCTCCAACCATAACCATACCCTCCACCTCCCATTAGTTGAAGGAGTACATTAGCACTGCTGACATCTCTATGTAGTATAGGATGAGGCTTGAAGAGGTGAAGGTAATTGAGAGCACAGCCTACATCTAAACTGATGCTCAGTATGGCAGGATAGGCCACTCCTCCAGTCTCTAATTCCTTTCTTAGGCTGGTAGGCATTAGCTCTGTCAGGATGATTGGGTTACCCTCTGTAGTGGCTCCTATGAACTGGAGGAGGTTAGGATGACGGATTTTAGAAGCAATATTCATTTCACGAGAGAATATCCCAATGTTATAAGGAGAAATGATAACATCATAGAGACACTTAGCAGCAACCTTGACACTACGAAAACCAGCCACTTTGACCTCTCCCCATCCTCCTTTACCAAGGACTACTTCTGTCATTGTAATCTCTCTTCTATTCACCACCCAGGAAGACTCTGCCACTTGTATCTGCTCTTCAAGTTGTCTCTCTCTTTCTTGGAATTCTCTTTCTCTTTCTTCAAGCTGTCGCTTTTTTTCTTGAAGTTGTCGTTGAAGATCCTGTTCTTTTTGCTGGTCACCTTCTGCTTGCCTTTGAAGCTGTTGCTCTCTTTCTTGAGATTCTTCCTCTCTTGATTGAAGTTGTTCTGCTTGTTGAAGATCCTGTTCTCGTTCCCTACCCTCTTGAATTTGCATCTCTCTTTCTTGTCCTTTTTGCTGTGCTTGTTGAACTTGTCTATCCTTTTCTTGAAGCTGTCGTTGAAGATCCTGCTCTCGTTCTCTGGCCTGCCTCTCTATTTCTTGCCCTTCTTGCTGTGCTTGTTGAACTTGTCTATCTTTTTCTTGAAGTTGTCGTCGAAGATCCTGCTCTTGTTCTCTGGCCTGCCTCTCTATTTCTTGCCCTTCTTGCTGTGCCTGTTGAAGTTGTCTACCTTTTTCTTGAAGCTGTCGTTGAAGATCCTGCTCTTGTTCTCTGGCCTGCCTCTCTATTTCTTGCCCTTCTTGCTGTGCTTGACGTACTTGTCTCTCCTTTTCTTGAAGCTGTTGTCGAAGGTCCAGGATTTGTTCTCTGGCCTGCCTCTCTCCATCTTGTCCTTGTTGCTGTGCTTGTTGAAGCTGTCGTTCTCTTCCTTGAAGTTGTTGCTGTAGTCTGTTTCTAACTTGTTCCTTTTCTCTTCTCTCCTCCTCTAGCTCCCTTTCCCTTTCTTGTAGTACACGTCTCAGACGGTCTATTTCTCTTCTATTCTCAGGTTGAATAGGTTGACATGCTTCCCATTCTCTTCTCCTTTCTTGTAGTTTCTCTTGATAGTGGCTTAGAGGTATTATACTAGTAGACCAATCATTATTACTAGTATATCCTATACAGTAACAAAATAGTTGAACTAATGACAATAATTAATTAAAAAAATTAATTACTAAATGTACTGCAATTATTATGTCTGTTAATAAAACAAATGACTATACTCATAGTTTATAATTATTATATTCAATATGTAAAAAAATTGTGTACATTCATTACATTTGCATCTACATGTACTCACTGAGTTCAATAACTGCTGTATTATTGTATGGCGTGTACCCTCCAAACACAATTATCCAGTTAGTGATTGGTGTCACACTCCAAACTGAGAGAGAATGATTCCATCTCTTAGTGACAATGTCTGGTATATTAACCTATATCAGAAGAAACAATAATTAATTCAATATTTGTTTTCTTTTGTATTATTTTGTTTTTTAATGAAAATGATTCTATCCTC